GGGGGGAGCACACAGATCCCAGAGCTGCACGTAAGTGCCATAAATATAGGTTCGACCGACCACTTCCTCATATGGGCAAACATCGACCGATCCAGAAAGATCAAGAGTAAGAAACAGAGGAAAGTGTTCCGGTGGAAGGTAGAGCGTTTGGGAGACGATGGGACACGGGATGAATTCCAGAAGGGGCTGGCTGGTAGTGTAGAATCCTTCAGGAAACTGCTGAGAAGCGTCGAAGACGGACAGGTAGACGTACAGGCAGCAGGGGACAGGGTGATTGAAGGGTGGGAGTCCATCGTGAACGCAACGGCAGAGAGAGTAGTGGGAAGGAAGGTGGTACGATGTGGGGTATCGGTTAAGTGGTGGGATGACGAGCTGAAAGAAGAAATAGGGGAACGTAGAGAAGTCTTCAAGCAGTACCTGAGTGAGGCGTCTGAGGAGAGTTGGGAAAAGGTACAGGGCCAGGAGAAAACAGGTGAAGGGACTAGTGAAAAGAAGAAAAAGTGCATTTGGGACGAAGTAGTGCAGAAGGCCAACGGAGGCCTGGAGGGGAACGTCAAGCAGATGTGGGAAAGGATTAGTGGAATTGTTTAAAAGACCGCGCAAGGGGGGATACAGGGGTAGCAACTTTGCGAGGTGTGAACGGTGGACTAATCAGCAGTGGGAGGGGAAAAAGGGAAGCTCTAGCAGGACACTACAAGAGGCTTGGAGTGCCCTCGGAGAATGAAGCTTTTGACCAAGCGTTTAAGAAGGAGGTGGACGCATGGGCCCAAAAAGAAGAAGAGACATCGAAGGCAGACGTTGGGAACGTAGAACTAGAAAAGGAGTTCACTGAGGACGAGGTTGAGGCGTGTGTGAACAAGCTGAAGTGCCACAAAGCAGCAGGAGCGGATGGGATAGTCAACGAGTTCATGAAGTTTGGGGGGAAGGGGATGATCCAGCTGATGGTACTGCTATACAATTGGGTGTGGAAAAACGAGTATACGCCAAGTAGATGGAGGGAAGGAGTGGTTGTGAACTTGTTTAAGAAAGGAGACAAGACTGACCCAGGAAACTACAGGGGGATCACACTGTTGAACACAGTAGGAAAAGTGTTCTGTAAGCTGCTGAACGATAGGATAGTGGGAGTATTGGAGAAGGAACATAGCATTAGTGAGGGCCAGGCAGGTTTCCGCAAGAAGAGGGGGTGCGTAGACCACGTGTTCACGGTAGGGAGAATCATCCAAGGTAGAAAGAGGGCGGGAAAGCCGACGTACTGCTTCTTCCTGGACGTGAAAAAGGCATACGATACCGAATGGAGAACTGGGCTGTGGAAACAACTGTCCAATTGCGGGATCAAGGGGAAAATGTGGAGAGTGCTGAAGATGATGACCGAGAGTACGAAAAGCGCGGTCATGCTAGACGGAGATCTGTCCAAATTCTTCGACATTGAGCAGGGGGTCCCACAAGGTTGCACGCTGTCCCCAACATTGTTCCAGGTGTTCATCAACGATCTGTTGGAAGTCGTACAGGCAGTCCGGAAGGGAGTAAAAGGGGACACGGAAACGTCGGTTTCAGGAATGCTGTTTGCGGATGATTTTGTCGGTATGTCGGACACCCCTGAGGGACTGCAACTGCAAATTGACGCGGCGAAGAAGTTTACTGATATGTGGAGATTGTCTGCCAACGTTAAGAAGAGTGCCGTCATGGTATGCAACGAGAACAAGGAGGACCCAGTAGCACAGAGATGGAAGTGGGGAATCGAGGAGATTGCAGTAGTGGACCAGTACACATACCT